TGAGGCTCTGGTGATGGACTTAAAACGTGGTTCGGAGTTACACAAATTCCAGTCTTAAAAAAAAAAAAACCAGATGCGAATTTTGTGGTTTTCTCTTAGGGATTACATTTGAAACCAACACTGTAGGTGAAAAACATTCTTCCCATCTTTGAGACTTTTTATTTTTTGCATTCACTGTATTCTTCCTTTTGGAAAAAGCTGCCTGGCAAGTTAACCCTGGTATAGGAAATTGAAACTTGCAGTTCAGCCCACATGCCCACTCCAGGCCTAAAGACAAGCGGATTATATCAGTATCGCCAAGCTAAGCCTTCACACCCATCACCTACAGATTATTCACAACAGGGCTGTGAATTCACTGTCAGTGCCCTCTTCTTCAGGTGAGAAACCAAGAAAGAGCCACATCTTGGTGTGTGGGGCTTGCTTGAGGTCACACAAACAGCATTAGACTCAGAGTTTGAAGCTAGGTAAATCGAACTCCAAAATTCCATGTTTACATAGAGTTGAAAGTGAGGTGTGCTTTTTAATTTGTTCTTGAAAAGGTTAAGTTTTCCTGCTTAAGTGTATTTGCTCTTATTTTCTCTTTTTTCTTTCAAAGATTGATGATATTTTTGCTTCTTTTTTACTGTCTTTTTCCTCTCCCTCCATTTCTGGTGCTGGAGATTGAACCCAGGGCCTTCACACTAGGCTACACCCCCAGTCTTTTTATTTTTTAGTTTGACACAGGGTTTCTAATGCTCAGACAAACCTCACACTCCTCTATGCTGGGATTACCGATGCGTGCGCCCAAGCCTGGCTCAGTTTTTATATCTGACTCTTATAATCTGACAGGTATATACTATCTTGGAAAAAAAGTTTTCCTCTATTTAAAACATCTCTTTTTTTTTTTTTATTGGTACATGTTTACAGTATAAAACAATCACTTTCTTCCTGGGAAGCTGGTACACACAAAAACAAAACAAAACATTTCAGCGAGGCAACAGAGACCTCTTCTGACCAGGACGGGGATTGTCAGGCAGGGCATGGCGACGTCTGGCTGAGGCGGGTGAAGGAGGAGACAGCCTGAGAAGCAGATTCCGCAGAGGACTGGCCTTCGTGTCCGAGTCGGAACTGTGCGGGCAGAAGGGAGGGAGGAGAGCATCCTAACACAATGAGCAGCTTCTACCCAGGGCCAGGGGCCCTTCCTTCCTGCTGATAAGTGCACGTTCGCATGAATCCAGAGGAGCCTTGCTGGCTCCTGACCCCTTACCCAGAGCCCGGGGCACGCACTGAGATGCACAGCACCCAGCTGGATTCTGCTGCTCTCCACCTTCCCGAGCAAAAGCCCTGTTAGGGGAGCGCCTCAGCCCACCAGGATCAAAAGTGATGGCTAATGTTCTCACTGTATGCGGAGATTCACCATCAGATTCGGGTCTGTCTCCATGTTTTTACACTGGGGGTTAAATCTAGGGCCGTCACACTGAGCAACATCCCTGGCCTTGTTTTAATTTTCTGAGTCAGTGTCTTATTAGATCACTAAGGCGGGACTTGAACTTTCAGTCCTCCTGCTCCAGCGTCCCAGACTGCTGGGATCACAGGGGGGCACCACACCTGGGTAACGTTCTGCGCTCTTGTAAAGAAAGTTATCACCCTGAGCTGACCGTAATGAGGAGGGGAGCTCTGAACAGAGTAGACCAGTGTTACAAATTAGTTTACCATGAGCACATGAAATCAGTCAAGGAACAACTGAGAGAGAATTACAGGCAGGAGAGTAAATGCAGAGGGTCACAGAAACCCCAGGAACATTGCTTAGAAGGACATAAATTGACATTACAGGATAATAAGGCTGTCCCTGAGACAGGTCTCCAAGAAAGCTTACATGTTCGTCCTTTTTTTGAGACAGGGTCTTGCTAGGTAGCTCTCGCTGTCTCAAATTTGCAATCCTCCTGCCTCAGCCTTCTAAATGCTGAGACTGCAGGTGTGCACTTAACATGCCTGGCTCTGTTTTAGTCTGGGTTTTGTTACTATAACAATGTATTTGAGCCAAGCATGACAGTGCAAGCCTGTAGGCTGTTTTGCAGAGTGAGGAGAAAGATTGGAAATTCCAGGCTGGTTTGGGCTAGTTAATAAGACCCTACATCAACATAAAAAAATAACAAGAGCTGGGATGTAGCTCAGTGGTAGGATGCTCCTGGGTTCAAGCCCAGTAGCACACAAAAAAGTTTATGTCACTCACGGTATTGCGGTCCAAGATTAGGCAGCAGCACTGCTTTGACCTCTGATGAGGGCAGCCTTAGATGGGGTACAGGGGAGCACATGTAGGAGTGACATCATGTCAGAACTGCAAGGTGTGATGCTGCACACCTGTAATCCCAGTTACTTGGGAGGCTGAGACAGGAGGACTGAAGTTCAAGGCCAAATCCGGGCAACTTCATGAGACACTGTCTTCAAAATAAAAATCAAAACGCTGGGCATGGTGGCACGTGTCTGTAACTCAGGAGGCAGAGCCAGGAGGTTGGTTATGAGTTCCAGGCCAGGCTGGACTACATAATGAATGGAAGGCTATCCTGAACTGCATAGCAAGACTCTGGCTCAAAAAAATTTTTTTGAAAGACCAGGAAAGTGGTTCAATGTAAAGTGTCCCTGGATTCTCCCCCTAGTACCACGAAACATTAAGTGAAAATTAAAATAATAAAAATAAGGCTAAGCATGGCACACATTTATTATCCCAGCACTCAGGAGGCTGAGGCAGGAGGATTACTCGCAAGTTTGAGTCCAGCCTGGGTTACACAGTGAGTTCAAAATCAGCCCAATCTACATAGCAAAAATCTAGTCTCAAAAAAAAAAAATCTGAGGATATTGCCTCATAGTAGAGGACTCCTGAGTTTGATTCCCAATACCAAAAGACAAACAAACAAAACTAAAAATCCAAATTGGACAAGAGGTCCAAGCAGAATTTGCACTGATCCATCCTGAAGGCATGTTGTCTGTGATCTCTGGACTTCCCACTGAAGCGCCATCAAGGGGCACTGTCACATCCATCTGTCACACAGACACCTCCGCCACACCCACACCTCCAAATATGAAAAATGGAGCCTCGGGTTTCCACGGGGCAAGAACGAACTGCTGTGCCTGGTTTACTTCAACTTTTCAAGACCCCTCCCTGCCATTTCATCCCAGAAACACACAGAGCCCAACTGGGATCAACTCCCAAAGCACAAGGTGATTCTTCATAGAGGGCTCAGGCGTTTTGTGATGTCCTGAAGCTTTTTTTTTTTTTTTTTTTAACTGAGCGACATGAAAGACTATCTCAAAACTTAGCCAAAGACCTTGCTGGAAATTGTCTTATTATCAGCCAAATTTGCCTTTGTTTTCAAAAGGGGGAAAAGTACTAGAAAGTTTCTTAGCAGCATCAGAGTCCTGTGACATCTCACTCTTGACAAGTGGGTTAAACGGCTCAGGTCTCTTTCAGAGATAAGGTAGGGTTAAGAGATTACATGCAGTAGAAATATTCCACTTATCCTAACAGTTTTTAGACACTCAGGACTACCAGCTTTTTATTCCTCAAATTAAATGTACAAAATACTCCATCTATGGGAATGCCAGTTATTTCTCTAGTCTTGGACTGAGGTGGGGATAGAATGACATGTCTTAGCCACTTTCTCTTTGCTGAGACAGAAAACCTGACACTTGTAACTTGAGGAGGAGAGGTTTATTTTGGCTCACATTTCAGTCCATCGCTGGCCAGCTCTAAAGCAGAATGGCATGGCCATGGACCAGGGCACAGAAGAGCTAGCTGCTCATTGCATAGAGACAGAAAGCAGAAAGTCTCCCTGTAGTTCAGACTGGCCTTGAACTCCCTATGTAGCCTGCACTGGCCTCAGACTTGGAGGGATCCTCCTGTCTCAGCCTCCCGAACGTTGAGATTACAGGTGTGTATCACCATGCCTGGCAAGTCTGCTATCATTCTAATGGGTTGATCTCTATCAGTGATTTGTTGTTTTTTTCTAATAGCTTTGAAGTTTCTCTCTGTGTTGTACTTCTAGGATTTTGTCTATGATGTATCAGAAAAGTTCTTTTCTGCTTGTGACTATTTGGGGTCCCATAGGCATCCGTTTTCTGTATGTTAAATTCTTTCCCCGTATTTGCAAAGTTTTCTGCTATTATTTCAGGTTTTTCATGTTATTTGTGCTTTCTTTTTATGTTTCACTAATTCTAACTGATCTTAGATTAGTCTTCTTTGTGCCATCTAAGAGTTGTGGGATCCATTTTTCATATTATTTTGTTTTTAAGGTCTTAAAAAAATACACGGCTCCCTCCCTCAGTCCCTGGTCAGAAGGCTGTCTTCACAAGGGGCAGAATGCTAGTTCTAGGCAAGTGAGGCCGAGAGCTTTGGAGTCCCCTTTCTCCCAGTCCCAGCCCATGAAATAGAAGTGCCGTCTTGGGCACAGAGCTACTCAGAGCACCAGGGCCTCAGGAGGTCTGTCCACGCTTGGAGAGGAGGACCAGGATGCTGTCTTTTCCTCCACTGACTCCTTGGCTTCTAGAGGGATGGTGTCCTTGGAAAGAAGTAGCCATTGTCCTCCCTTTATGCTCCAGAGCCAGGGCAAGGGGACTTTTACTGGAAGGATAAACAGGCCACACAGTCAGTTGGTCCTAATTTCTTTCCACAGGAACTGACCTGTTTTCAGTGATGTGGAGGGCAGTGAAAGCTTCAGGTTACTCTGAAAAACAAGGCACTACACGAGGACTCCTGGAGCCCATTCTGGGTGACTCAGGAAGATTCTGCCTCAAAAACTAAAACAGAACAAAAACCAGAAACATGGAAGGCTGCAGTCTTGAAAGTTGGTAGGAGCCTCCGAGCCTCATGGAGTTACAGTGCGTACAACCTGTAGGCCGGCTAGTTTGCCCAAGAGAACTGGGGTCATAAAATGTCTCCTTGCTCTCAGCATGCCTGGGGGGGAGGATGGGGAGAGGAGAGAAAGGAGCAGAAGGAAAGTGAACACCACTGGCTGGCAGCTTGCTGAATTTATCCAGAAACAGCCTTTACTTCCAAGAAGGGCTACCAGAACATCAGGGCAGAATCGCCAACTCTGGTGTCCCAACAGACCAGGCTCAGTCGCCCTTTTCACATCACTACTCAGGGAGACAAGCGGGGAAAGGAGCTTTAATCAGAAGGCTGGGCAGGGAGCACCAGGAAAGAAGCTCGAGATCGGCTTTCAGTTTCCCACTGCTGTCTTCAGGTCTAGCTTCTAAGTCCTTGTTCTAGAAGCACAACAAGCTCCAAATAGGATAAACCTAAAGAGCCCGCAAAGGGTTACGTAATAAAAATGCTAAAGGTCAGAGATGAGGATTAGCAAGGAGTAATGAGACACTGACAACAGGAACACAGGTTAATATTAAGTGCTGCCTCTGCAGAAAAGAAACGGCGGCCACAAGAGTGTGGTACACTTTTTGAAGTGTGCAAATAAACAAACATCCAATACCCATCAGAACTTCTTTCCAAAAAACAGTGATATACAAATGTCCCAGATAGGGTTGTTCAATTTTATTGTCTGTGATAGTACGAATAGCTATTTTGAAGAAAACAAGGCATCACAATAGCTAGTGCTGATTTAATATCTTGTTTTGAAGTCCCGCCAAGCTGTTGTTCGTGTTTCCATTGGTTTTAACATGTTGTATCTTAATATATTTTACTATATGCGATAGTATAAACAAAACTTTTTATAGGCAAAGAGATAATATAGAAACCGTTGTTCGTTTTCTGTTAGCTGGTTCTAAATACCCGGTAATACTTTTATTCTCTTGAATGGCTTCACAATGTCTTAATATGTTTGATGCTATAATATATGAAGTTATACTCAAATATTTCAAGGAAACAGACACTATGGTGACTACTATTATGTCAGGTTATCTGGTGGTGAAACACAATGATGCTTAAATTGTTTGGTTCTGACCTGTGTTGTTCTGTTGCTATGTCCTCTTTTATCTCAATCTCCCCTTTTTTTCCTTTTTTTTAAAAAAAATTTATTTTTTCTTATTTTTTATAATTAAAGGAAAACTAAATTAAAAAAATAGCGGGATATATTATAGTAATTTTTTTGTTTTCCCATTAACCTGATTTGAACCCCTGTAAATCTCTCCCCATCTTGTTCTGACTGATTTTACTCTATTCTGTTTTGTTTGATAGTATCAAGTTTGAGGGTATAGGCAACCACTTTCAAGGCAGTAAGATTTACTATAATGCCCATTTTGGTTTGACTATTATCTTCTTTTGAAGTCCTGTAAGGTCTCCAATGTAGGTTTTATTGGTCTTGTTCTGTACTGTTTTGTTCAATTCTACTATACCTGATGATATAGGCAACTCTTTTTAAGATAGCAAGAGGCATAATGGTAACCATTGTTGATCACCTGGTATTCTGTTTTTGCATCATATACTATGTCCATCCTTGTGTTCTGACTCTGTTTTGCTTTGTCACATTTGGTTTTTTTTTTTTCTCTTCAAAAAAAAAAAGTAATAAGAACTGTGGGAGTAATAAAACCCAAAAAGTATAATTGTTATTGTAAAAAAGAGAGGAAAAGAAAGTGATCTAAAGGATATAAGTGCATGTGTATTTAGGTGTGTAGGATAGAAAACCGTATTACTGAGTTTTTATTGGCTCATTGAACAGAACTGTCTGCTACCTCACTGTATGAATGTCCACTTTGTATGCTTTAATTTTGTAATTTGGACAACTGTTTCTAAGATGACAATATGTAATCTTAACTAGTGATTTCTTACTGTATATTTTTTTCTTGAAATTCTGTATTACTTGTACCCTTTTACTGCTTTGTTTTGTTTTTCTCTTTAAATGAAAAAAAAAAATGCCCCAGATAAGCAATATTGAATTTGTTGCTAGTAGACATGCTTTGAAAGAAGTAGAATAGTTCTTCAGGCTGAGAAATGGGCTCCAAAGGTGATCCGAATCCGCACACCAGACGTGGTGCCTTGTCTGCTCAGGCTGGAACAAAATGCCCAGGCAGGTGGCGTAAACCACAGACATTTGTGCTCACAGCTTTGGAGGCCCAAAAGCCCAGGAGCAAGATGTCAGTAGCATCGTCCTGGCCAGAGCCCTCTGCCTGGCTTGCAGAGAACCACTTTCTACTGCATGTGTTACAGGGTATAAAAATGGGGTGTATGGGTTATTTTATTTAGCATCATAACTTCAAGGTTTTTCCATGTTGCCGCACAAATCAGATCACTCCTTTTTATGGCTCAATAATACAGCATCACATGCATATACCATGTTTTGTTTGTCTTCAGCAATTGGTATCATTTGGTTGCTTCAACTTTTTTACTATTGTGCACACTGCTGCTGTAAATACAGGTATACAAGTATTTAAGTCTCTGCTTTTAATATTTTGAGTACATAGCTCAGGAATGAAGTTACTGAGTCATGTGATAATTCTACATTTAATTTCTTTTTTATCGGTACTGGGGATCAACTCATGACCACACGCTTGCAAGGCAGGTGCTTATGCCGCTGAGCTAAATCCCAGCCCTCTACATTTAATTTCTTAAGGAATCACCGTACTTTCTTCTACAGTGGTTGTGGTGTTTGCATAGGATGCTTGTATGTTGTTCAATTATGTGAATCATTTTTGTGCTGTAGGAAACTGGCCCTCAGGCACACTGAACAACACAGAAAGTACACCTCTCACAGCTGAAGTCACGTGTGGTGTGACAGAGCTGTCTGCCAAACACTTGTAGTCATCATGGTGATTAATGCTTGTGGTCCAGAGTTTTAGAGATGTGAGTGCGAGGGGTGGGTCAGCGAGAAGGGTGGTAGAGGCGGTCGGCAAGGTAGCAAACATAACTCCGTATCTTGAGGCTGATCTGAAACAGAGTATGGGCGGGGCTGAATGGTAGAATAAACAGACAGACAGACAGACAGCCGGGCGAGATGAGGCAGTGGGACTGGGCCCGGCTGTGTTCATCTCCTTGGCGTGAAATTAGCATCAGCGAAAGCAGTTTTCCTTGCTCTCCCACTTCACCTCAGCCGACTCAGAGCCTCCGTCCTTTCCAAAGCTTCCGTAGTCTACAAATGATGCTCTCAACTTAAGATTGTTAAATGTGTAGAACTTAGGGGAAATGCAAATGGACCACGAACTTGAACATTTACTGAAATACTGAATCACTTCATTTTTAATTCATTATCTGTCTGTGGTACTGGAGATGGAGCCCAAGGTTTCTTACACACTGACACAGGTGTTCTGCTGAGCTCTAGGGCCCGCCCGGCTTTATTGCCTTCTGTGTTCATCAGACCAGCCGCCTCCTGAAGCCGTGAGAAATCACAGTACTTTGGTATCTGGAGAGAGGTGAATGCAAAGGCATATCTGCAATTTTTATCTCTGGTGGGATTTTCTTGAAGACAATTTTACGATCTTCCCCGTGGCAAAGCCTTTCTCTGCAATTCAGGAACAGAGATTCTTCTAGTGGGCCACTGTAGATCCCAGATACTTTTGCTTGCTAAGAAAAAACAAAACAAAACAAAGCAACGCCTTCAGTTTAATGCTGCATCACTCAGACATCACTTCTGTTAGATTAAGGTGGCCGTTTCAGCCGGTGCCGAGCCACATGCCTGTCACTGCCGCATGTGGAAGGCTGAGGCAGGAGGACTGTGGGCTCCAGGCCAGCCTGGGCTACCCAGGAAGTCTGAGGGTACATAGTGAGACCCCACCCTCCCCCAAAAAGGCTTTGTAACTATCTGATGGACATTAAGATAAAGCAAGTCCTGTGTTCAGTGTGGACTGCAGTGACAAAGGTGACCCATGCAATTGGATGCTGAAGGAGTCTTAGAGTGTTAGACAAAAGACCAGTGTGTGCAGTCGTGATGTAGCTCAGTGGCAAAGCACTTGCCAGCATGAGAGAGGCCCCTGGTTCAATCTACAGCATGGAAGAAAGAAAAGCCCACCTGTGAGTGAGGAAGCTTTTGCTGATTTCAGGCATTAAATTGAGATATAGACAGAAATGCCACCATTATGGCGAAGTAGCAGCTCTTGGCGTTTCCTGACTTAGTGCTTCGGCACAGCTGGGCCTGGCTAGGGTGCTCTGGCCTGGCTGCGGGGCAGGTCTATTCTAGTGTACTGTGTCACTGTACTGTTGTTAAATATGGGCTTTTAAAATCCCTCTTATGGTAAAACTGGGAGGATAAATGAGACAAGAGTATTAAGCTAGAATGTACCAGCATTTATTCAGTGTGGGCACATTCACTTCATTTGATTCTTTGATTTTCATGGTAGCTGCAAGGTAAAATGTTCTCTACATTAGTCATTAATAGTATTTTTTAAATTGTCGGCAACACTTTATTTTTAAATTTTTACGTATGTATGACGGTATGTATGTATATAGCTATGTACTCTGCAGTCCTGGAGACTGAAACCAGGGCCTTCACACTAAGCCAACCCCTAACCCTTTTTAAAAGTCTTGAGACCGAGTCTTGTTAAGTCACTGAGTTGCCTGCGCTAGGCTCAAACTTGTAATCCTCCTGCCTCAGGCTCCCAGAGTGCTGGCATTACAGCATGTGGCACCATGCCCAGTCTGTAAGGAACACTTTAAAGTGCAAAGTGAAACAGTTTTGAAAATTATGCTGAATCACAGTTGTAAAGAACAAGACCAGTCCAGGGGTACAGTTTAGTGGTGTTGCTTGCTGAGTACTCACACACACAGAAAAAATAAAAGCAATATTGCTGGGTTTGGTGGCAAATACCTGAAACTACAACACTGTCAAGGCTGAGACAGGATTATCAGTATGAATTCAAGGCAGACTGGGTGATATAGTGAGTTCAGGCTCAACCCACATAGTGAGACCTTATCTCAAAAACAAAGCAAAATGCAGACCACACACACACACACACACACACACACACACACACACACACAGGAATCATCCTGCAGTAAATACAGCTTTGTGTATTGTATAACACTGTGTATTTTTTATTTTTTGAGGTACTAGGGAGTTGAACCCTGGGTCTTCATGGTAAACTACAACTCCAGCCCTTTGTATTTTTTACTCCGTGACAGGGTCTCACCAACTTGTGAGGGGGCTAGGCTGCATTTGAATGTGTGAAACTCTTGCCCAGAGCACTAGGATTACAGCATGTATCACCATGCCAGGCTCACTTGTGGGTTTTATAGGAGAACAATCGCAGCCAGGTGTGGTGACATTGTAATCCCAGCACTCGGGAGCCTCTGGGCAGGAGGCTCGCTGCCAGATACAGCCCAGCAGACACAGTGAGTTTGAGTCCAGCCCGAACTGCAGTGAGACCCTGTCTCAAAAAAAAAAAGTATGAGAATCATTGAAGTGTATTTTATCACACTTTATATATTTATATTTTACAATGTCTTGGAAAAATGCATTTTCCTTTGATATTAACCACTTACACAACTGAAATTTACAAATAATTTAACAAAAACCCATTTTTTTCTAGGACTCCTAACTTGAAATTTCCTCATAGCTAATTATGACCATATATTTTATTCCCCTTTGAAGAAACAATCTATCATATCATAAGTAAACCGTCAATCTGAATTTGGAAAATATCTTTTAAAGAACTAATTAGGAAGGGCTGGGGATATATTTCAGGGGCATAAGCACCTTCCTGGCAAGTGCTAGGTCCTGCGTTCAACTCCTGGTACCAAAAAAACCAACAAATAAAAAACCTAATTAGGAGCCCAGAATGGGAAGTATCCTGTGAGTCCAGCCTGGATGTTCCTATGGGGTCCTGCTTGAATAGGCAGCACCACGAACTGTGACCTGACTCTGCATGGCACCTACATCTGCAGGCTGCATCACCGAAGTCAGCATGGTGTGAAGGTTCTCAACTTTGCTGGAGTACCTAAAGTTTGCATTTGTGTTATTGGGTACAGTTAACATATACTTGCAAATTGTTATGAAAGTAAAGTTTTTGTGTCAGCTCATAGACTAAAGGTACAGGTTTTAAGACCAAGGAGATTTATGGGAAAATACCTTCATGTTCACATTCCTGAATTCCATGTTTTCTTTCCACGGCATTATGTAACGTGTTGGAATCATCCCTTGCCTGAGTGAAAACCGTGGCAAATGAATCTCTTCATACCTGCGAGGAGAGAGGATGCTTTTGAGTAAGCAGCTGTTCTAGCATCACCCTGAGAAAGGGAGGCACTGCACATCCAGAGTTTGGATCCAGGACTGTGATGCGGAGGCCTGCCTGACAAGATGGAGCTGAGGCTGGGGATCTACCTCCAAATGCATGCCGTTTGCACAGTGTCAGTGTGATCTTTTTGCAGGGAGAGGCAGTGCATTATCAGTTGACCCTTGATATAAGGAAATCTCTGGCCAGTTACTAATAGCCAGCAACTAATCTGCCTTCTCAATTTATAAACTCTACACTTGGGCAGACCTGCGATCTCGCACACGTACTACATTTTTTCCCTCTGGAACATTAAGTTTTCTGTAAATGTTAAGCAGCAACTCCTCTATACAGTCCCCAGCCTGAAAAACAAATGGACCTCCCCCACCCCCACTCCGGAACCCTTTCAGTCCTCACTTATTGGCAGGCTTATGGGAATTCTCATCGGAGCAGTTGTTGGCCAGTTTAGGGAAGGGAGGGCAAGTGTCTTTTCCCGAAGCCATCATTGCCAGCAGAGACAGAATGCACATCTAGAACCCAGGTCACTGTTCTAAAGATGAAAGCACTACCACTGATGTAACAATGTATTGCTAACTTCACAGCAACCCTCAGCGGTTACCTCAGCAGTTAAAAGTGGGCTCAGACGTATTTTCAGTACTTGTTTTTGAGTCTTTTTGGAGACAGAATTTTGCTATGCAGGTTAGGATGGCTTTGAACTCACTTTGTAGCCCAGGCTGGCCTCGAACTTGCAGCAATCCTTCTGCCTCAGCTTCCTAAGAGCTGGGATTAGAATTGTGTGCCATCATGCCTGGCTTCAGTATGGTTTTTAATTTCCTTTCTTGACAAAATTATTTAGTGTGAGCAATTAAAAAATGAGAATGCTTGCACACTGGAAATTTGCCACATACTACAAAAATGTTTGACTAAATGTTCACAAATAAGCACTTCATATTCTTTGCTTCTGGTTTATTTTGCTCTTTATATATTGCACATCATGGTATATACTTTTTATAAACTGCACATTATCACCTAATAGATACTTGAAGAAAATCAAATTTGCTTAAATCCAAACCAATTTGACCCATTTTCTTTTGTTATACTGCAGACTATTTTGATTATAAAGCGTTTTATTTTTTGTAGTTTTAAAGACTGAACTCAGGCAATCTGTACAGAATTACAACTCTTGTTTTTTTGAGATAGTCTCAATGCACCATTAAATTGCTCAGGTTGGCCTTGAATTTGTGACCCTTCTGCCTCAGCTTTCTAGTACTACTGGGCTTATTTACAAGACATGTGTCACTGTAGCTAATAACTCTTCAAAAAATTTTTTTGAGACAGGGTCTTGCTATGTAGCCCAGCCTGATCTCAGACTCGTGGGAATCCTGTTTCACCCTTCCAACTGCTGGGATTACGGCATGCACCAACATGCCTGGCTCTCTTAGAACTAATTTTAACATGAAAAACTTAAAGAACCTTAAAAAACTAAGCACTGCTTTCTATACAACAGTTTCAAATATTAAACAACTGAAAAAAAAAATGAACTAAGAAAGTAGGCAAAAGAGGTAATCTTTCTTTCCCCTTGTTGCAATGTTAGGGCTTGAACCCAGGGAGTGCTGACCCACCACTAACTGGATTTATTATCCAGTTAACTATTCAGTCTTTTTTATTTTATTCTGACAGAGTCTAAGTTGCCCAGGCTGCATTCAAACTTGCAATCCTCTAGCCTCAGCCTCCTAAGTAGCTGGGCTTACAGCTGTAGGTCACCATTCCCAGTTTAAGAGGGACAATCTGAATGAACAGAAAGTACCCTCAGGAATTTGTGCCCTTTAAAAAGGGAACTGGAGAAAGTAGCAATACATGTTTATCTTCTCCAATGCAATGCAGCTTTAAAATCACCTCACAGGACTGAAGATAGCTCTGTGGTACAGACACGTGTAGCATGTATGGTGCTTCCGGGTTCCATCCTAACCACAAGGAGAAAAAAAAATCTTATGTAATGAGCCAGGTGTGACAGCACAGGGCTGAATCCCAACTCTACAGGAGGCTGAAGCAGGAGGACTGCCAAGTTTGAGGCTGGGCTGGGCAGCTAAGTGAGACTGTCTTGTCCAAGAACAGAAAAGCAAAACACAGCAGGCTGTGGACACAGCTCAGTGGACTCAATCCTTAGTAGCAAAAAAAAAAAACCCCAACAACTAAAACCCACACAAGGACAATATACACTTACCTATTTAAAGTACGCTTCTTCCCTTGGTTAAAGCAATCATATTAAACAATATTTGAGATTTTAAAAAGTTGGGCACTTGCCTAGCATATGCAAGGCCCTGGGCTCAATCCCCAGCACCACAAGGAGAAAAGAAGTTGGGGCCAGGGTAAGCAGCTCAACAGCAGAGCACACGCTGTGCAGTCAGCAGGTCCCAACGCAGCGGCAGCAACGCTATGGGCTGTGTGTTGCAGACGGGACATGGTGCTGGCAGCACGCGAGCCAAGCTGCCCAGGACCCGAGCACTGGGGAACTCTTTTTTTTTGTCTTTTCCCTTTTTGTCGGTACCAGGAATAGAACTCATGACTGCCTGCTTGCAAGGCAGGCACTTATGCCGCTGAGCTAAATCCCCAACCCCTTGGGGAACTCTTTTTTAAAACTAAAACCTCACTATTCAGGTTTAATTGCAGTGCTAGTGCACTGTAGCATGTAAGTGGGTTTTGGGTTGTAGTCTGAGCACTGGGTCTCTTAAACATTCGCCACCACTGCTTTAAAGTAGCACCAAAGACAATTAAGTAAATAAAGCCATCAATGCTCAGTAAGGGCTGCCAAAGGTTTTATTTTTTCATTCTTTATAAATAAAAAGCAACCAATAACCACTTCTCTCTTCATGATCCAACTTAAATGACTACTCTGAGGGAATACTAAAAGACTTCAAGGTTAGTTTACAACAAATGTACAATTTATAATTACTGAATTATTTATTATCCAGTTAACTAATAAAAAGCTAAAAAGCTATAAAGCAATACTTCTTTGAAAAGCCTCTGACATTTATTTCTGGACAAATAATTAACTGGGTAGGATCTGTCAGTATATGCCTATGTTTAGTCTCCTTAAAACTGCCTAAGAGTTCTTATATTACAGAAATCCAAATGTGTTAACAGCATAACAATCTGTGTGTCCCATTAGGACCTTTCATCGGAATGTTTTGAAACCAAAGTGAAACTCACCACAAAGATGTATCAGAAAAAGAAATGAACTTTTGAATGGCACATTATAATGATCTGGAAAAAAATGATTAGTAACTAGTAATGCTCATATTAGCCATGCAACAGACTGAGAAATTAAACACTGTGCCACATACTTTTAAGTACTGTGTCAGACATGAGCCATCTTTAAATTAGTTGCATTCATTTCCCACATGTATTCAAAACAATGAAGTTTCCTCTTCTCTAGATTCTCATGTTTATCAGTGCAAAATAAAACAGAGCTTTGTCAGTAGAAAGGTTATCACAATGCTACTTTAGAAACGTTTATTCCTCAAAATGTCCAAAATATACTTAAAAGATGTCCAAATCATGAGAATGATCAACCTCTATAGCTTCCTCCACGTCCAACTTGGTTTCCCCATGCCCTTCCTGTGGTTCATCAAGAGAGGCCAGGGCCTCATTGGTATCACTTGCAAAAGTTTCCCTTGAGGTATCATCATCTTCTTGAAAATTCAGATTTTTAATGGCTTGTTTCATCTTTTTTCCCATTATCTGTGTTCTCCTCTTCCTAGCAGCTTTTTTATTTTCATATTCCTTTTGATTTTCAATGTAGAAAATATCCTGGAATAAAAGAGTAACTTCAGCAAAAAAGAACTACCATCAAGTTTGCTATTAGCCATGCCCTTTACAATTATCATCCCTATTTCTTATAAAAACAAGCAATTATGCTACTAACTCAAAGTCAAACATATTACATAAGTACCTACTGTGAGTAAAGACTGAAGCTATGATTCAAACCCAGCCTAGTGTTGGGTTTATGGTTTAGTTTATGGTCGTGTTCAACATAGGTGAAAGTTTTTGAAAAGAAAAGATATAATAAGGAAAATCACTTATTCAGGGTTTAAATAAAATGTAGTTGATCACACAAGAAAGTCTTTGGAATAAAGATTTACTAACTTTAAAATGTCATCATAAATATATGTGGTTGTGATGCTAAGAAACCAAGCCATATTTGAATTGTATGAATAAATAATCGTGTCACCTATACAATGCAAGAAAAATTCTAGCTCTTTCTGAAATTAACATGAGTGTGAATCTTGGTCAAAACTTTTCTTCCTGGTATTGGGAATACAACTCACAACCTTACACTTAGCAAGCAGGTGCTGTGCCGGTGAGGTGAGTTACATTCAAAATCTTGTATCATACGTATAGAAATATAGTCAGCAATAGAATACAAAAATGCCAAAAAGGGACTTTATAGCATGAAAACAGAAGATTCTTCCAGTAGAAGATAATTCTTTGTTGTATGTATCTTTATCTTTTGTCCACATTGTGCCAAGCCTGGCAGCATATGAGGCGTCTACTTGCTTTAGTAAGACATACTTACAACCAAAAATATTTCCAGACATTGCCAAATATCTGAGGGGCAAAAGCACAGTGAATGAGACTTATGCTAATTGAAAATATATTTCTGTTATAATAGAGACATGGAAAAACATAAAACAACATGGGAACTTTGGTAAAATAGGTGAGTGGAGTTAAGAGAGTACAAGAAAATGGAACCTAGGTCAGGGTTACAGCAAGGGCCACACTGTCTACAATAAGACAGACATGGCTCAAAGTTATAACAAAGAAGTTGGTAGAGGCAGGACACATTCCTGAGTTATTTCCTGGAAAAGGACCCTAAAAGTTGTAGCCAAGCCAGTCCCAATCATATTTTCTAAAGTGCACTCAGTGCAAATCCCTTGTTTATAAAAAGCACTATGGTGTTTGATCCAGCAGCACACATACAGTACTGGAACTGGAACAATACACAGAAGACTGGGGTGGCTTCTGCACATGAATGACACGCAAATTCATGCAGTGTTCCATACAGCCTATGCATATTTCAGATGGGAAAGGGACCAGGAGATGAAGACGGGAGGGAAAGGGATGAAGAAAGCAATTAAGATGTCCTGTGCATATGTACGAACCCCACAAGAGCAAGGTAATCATCACACACTGTAGACGCGCACTACTACAAGTAAAATAAAAAATCAGGAGCACTATTACAGATGGTGAGACACAGGGGACTTGCTCCTCCTGTGCACATGAAGTCACTACAGGAGGGCAGAGCGTTAGCAGAAGCACGAACAGAGAAAGTTTCAGGGTATAAGTGCTTTGATAAGAGAAAGTAAGGCCAGGGATTTAGCTCAGTGGCATAAGGGCCTGCCTGGCAAGCATGAGGTCTGAGTTCAATCTCGGGTCACCACCCGCTCCAGAAAGGAGAAAGTAAAAGCACCTGCTAAAGAAATGAGAGTGGGCTGGCGGTGGAGAAGGTGGCGCTTCTGGGAAAAAAGATATGGAAGACTAAAGGTGACTACCAGGACAATCAGGCTGGTTACCATTTACCAAGTGAGCACTTCTGGTACCAGACACTATGCTAAGAGTTTTTCACACACATTAACTAATTTCATGCTCACAAACATCTTATGAGGTAGGTGTAGTGTATCACCTTTGTTTTCAAATTGAAAAAATGAGGTAGAAGATTACAGAGCTAATGTGGAGGTACAAAGTCTGACTTCATTTATTTCTCCAAATCTGTATTTTTAAATGCTACAAGACTTGTGATCATTCACTATTTTTTCCAAGGCTGCATGGGCCTGAAATACATAGTGAGATCCCGTCTCAAATTTAAAAAAAAAAAAGAAAAAAAAAAAGAGAGAGACAAAGAAAGAGTCAGGATAATCATGAAATGAAACTTGAAGCTTTATGAAAGTCAAATCAGTATGGGATATTAAAAAGCTAAGGGCAGTAGTATCATACCTTAATTTGTTCTTCACTGATACTAGGAGTGTTTTTCAGTAGATTCAGAAAAACTCCACCTGGTGTTCTTCTCCGACTACCATTCTATAAAAGGGAACAGAACAATGAACTACATCAACATTGTTTGTTTTTATTTTTGGCAGTGCTGGGGACGGAACCCCTGGCCTCTTGCATGTTAGCCACGTATTCTACAACAGCTACATCCTCAGGCCCCAAACCACAGAAGACTTCCCATGAATGAGCAAGGCGGATTTCAGGAGAGACAGATTTAAGAAGATAGAAGAAATACCCAGATTATCTGATTTTTATCTGCCACCTGGCCAAATCAGGAACAATTTATTAGATTTTTACTCTGGTGATAGGGTCTCAGCATTCCAGGCTGGCTTGGAGCTCACAGCCACCCTCCTCCTACTTTAGCCTTCTGTGACCTGGAATTACAGGTATGCCAGTCTTCTGTTACATATTAAAATATAATAAAGCTTCAATAATTAAAAGAATTGTAATGAAATAAAACTCAAGTGATCAATGTGACAGTATAGGAAATCCAGAAAAAAGTCACATTTACATGGGAGTTTAGTCTGATGTAGAAGAATGGCTTAAACCACAGAAGATGAAATGGACTGTTCAACAGTTGGTGTTCCCAGGAGCTACTAAGCCATCTGGGAAACCCTGAGTACGATTCCTACCTCACACCCTGTACCATGATCTATTTATTTCAAATAAATCAAAGATCCCAGGATATATGCAAATACAGTCTCTTCTCATTATTCCTTACAGTTATGTTCTAAAGCACTGCTGTAGGAGAAACGCAGGGTTAGGTGTGTACAGGTCTCTGGTCACAACCTATTAACAGAGCAACGTGTAACTTTGTCTTACATTAATTTGTATTTAAAGGCACTTGAAAAGGCAGCATGACAACACATGCTTATTGCAGCTCATACAGAGTGACGCAGGAGGATTTTGAAATTGTTCAAGGCCGTCTTGGACAATTTAGGGAGAGCTTGTCTCAAAGTAAAAACTAAAACAAGGGCTGGGGATGTAGCTCAGCATTTAACTGCCATTAAGTTCAATCTCTAGCATCACAAAAACCAAAAATGAATGAAAAACAAAGGCATCTTATTTAAAACACGGTTGGGGCTAAGATTGTCACTCAGTGGTACACTTCACGCTCAGACTGAGGCCCTAGACTCAATGCCGAGCACCACCAAAGTGTAACTATAAATACAGAAAGAAATAGAGAGACTCATTAACATTGAACTCATAGCAAACAGCAATTACTCATGCCTAAATGAAGCTTACCTAACACATATTTTCTCCCTAACACATTAGTCTTCTTATATTTAGAAATGCTAGCCAGCACTTCAGCATGACCACTGGGGGGATATTTTAAACAGCTAAATCACCAGAAAAATAAAGTACAAAAATGTGAAAAACATGACACTAATAAGACTTTGGAAAGGGTACTTGTTTAAACAATGAGAACTGAAACATGGCAGAGTGTTGCTTTGTTCAACTTCATCTGGGATTGTGTACATTGGACAAACTTTTGTCATTCTGCACATCTGTGAATAACAGAAAGCACAATTAGTTTTGATTTTGAGGTTACTCATAAATTTTAGCAGGAAGGTAAATTCTGAAATGTAAAATCAAATGAGTCTGTGTATGTATAAAAAAATATAAAGAAATAAATAATTATGGTACTTCCAGATTGCCAATTGTAAAAAACAATAAACAGGCTCTTTATATACAGATATGCGATAATATCTGTATCTGAAAAATAAGCAAGGGACAGAGTAACATATGTAACACATTACCATTTGTGAAAAGCTTGTGGAATAGTCTGAGTAGCTGGAAGATAGGAGTGGGAGGGTTGATTTTTATTACATACTGCTTTATTGCTTGTGTTTTTACTGTGGTAATAAACACACAACAAAAATTACACTATCTAGGGGCTGGGGATTTAGCTCAGCGGCATAAGCGCCTGCCTTGCAAGCAGGCAGTCATGAGTTCGATCCCCGGTACCAATAAAAACGAAACAGACAAAAAAAAAAAATTACACTATCTGCCGGGCTGGGCAGGCTCTCCACAAACTAGAAAAGTGCTCGGTAACTGAGCTACATTCCCTGCCTCTATGTGAACTGACTGATGTGCACAGTGTTATTATATTCACCACATTTTGAAATATCTCTGAAAACTTTTAAATAACTCCCCTTTCAAATAAACGACTCCCACTTCTCCCTCACTATCAGCACCTGGTACTTTTGATTTTTAACTATGTGAATACACTAATTATTCAAACAGCTGAATTTTTAAAAAGTCAGTGAATATATAACTTGAAAACAACTTTTTAGCCTGTCAACTTTAAAAGCTGTGGTACTGGGGACTGAACCTAACACATGTTAGGCAAGTACTCACCACTGAGTTCTATCTCTAGTTCTTTTTGTTTGAGACCAAGTCTTACAAAGTTGCCCAGTCTGGCCCAAACTTAGAATCTCTTGCCTCAACCTCCCAAGAAGCTATCATTACAGGTGTGTGCCACCATGCCAAGTCTTGAGAACATTTTTAAAACTTTTTCTTCATGTATTTTATTCTTCCATCCCTCAAAAGAATTTTAATGTATGAAGTGGCCTATATCTCTGTTTTTTCATTAAATAATCATTATACACACCTTTCCATGTTAAACAGATTGAGACTTTGGAGCTACGGTGATTTTGTTTTGTTTTGGGAAAAGACCTCTCTTTTGGTCAGACTGTATTTAAACTGTGAACCTCCCTGCCTCTACACCTCTCGAGTGCTAGGACTACAAGCATGCACCACAATGCCCAGTTAAACTGGCTTTCTCTTGATATGTTCTTTGAACAATTATTTATTGAGTGGTAGAAGCACAGTGTTTACGTGTAGACTGTAGTAAGGTAGGAGAGGTAATGTGGGGTAGGCCCTAGTGGGGCATATATGATTTATATCTTTACAAATTTGGGTTTTGCTGTTAACAAGACAGCCTTTGGAGGGCTGAATAGCCAAGATACCCACTTCATTCCAGCTGCTGTGTTGAGAACAGACTGTGGTACTAAGAGGCTGTTACACACTAATTGAGGTGAGAGAGAACGTGTGTTAGAACTCAGGGACAGCAGTGGAGAAAGGAATGGAAACCAGCAGATCTTCCAATGGATTAGAATGTGAGAAAAGGAAGAACCAAGGGTACCTTCAAGGTTTTTATCAATTTAAGGAGCAGTATATAAAACTTCTGAGACTGGCATGGTGATACATGCGTGTAATTCCAGCACTCAGAAGGTGGAGGTAAGGAGGATGGGGGTTCAATGCTAGCCTGCGCTTCACAGCCAAGATCATCTTTAAAGGAGAAAAGCCAGATGTGGTGACACATAACCGTAACCCAGCACTAGAGGCTGAGGCAAGAGGGTTGTTGTGAGTTTGAGGCCAGCTGGGATTTCAACAGTGAATTCAACCAGCCTGAACTGCACAGCAAGATCCTGTTCTCGGATACAAATTAAAAAAAGTGAATCTGGGGGCTGGGGATTTAGCTCAGCGGCACAAGCGCCTGCCTTACAAGTGTGCAGTCGTGAGTTGGATCCCCAGTACCAGGTTAAAAAAAAAAAAGTGAATCTGAATTTGCATCTTGTCAACATTCAGTATATTTGCATTAGCTCACAGAAATATAAAATTTCATTACATTAAAATATTAATGGATCTTTAAGTGTTCAACTAAGTGAAAATCGAAGTACCTTAGTAGTGACACAAATGGGTACATCAGTCCATCCTTAATTAATATGATTTGTTTTGCTGTCAACTATCACAGGCAGTTTCTCCAGCCAGTGTTATTAATTCTAACCTGCTGTTTTCGTTTTCCACTTGTGCCACGTAGCACTGACCTCCTCTTTTGTACTGTGACCGGCACATTACAAAGGATGAGTACTCGAGGGAAAGGAGGCTGGTCACACTTATCCTCATTCTGAGGTGACAGCTGTGTCAGGTCTGTGGTCCATCCTGGCTGGAGTCAATCCTGTTACTAGGCAACCTGTGTAAACAGTGTCTCTCAATCTCTGTTCTGTCACTGCTCTGACTCCAGGAATCTTTCCCCACTTTTCTCCTTTTCATGCCCACTACCCACCAAAATTCAATCTACATGGATAAACAGTGTATCTATCTTCTATCTGTGCTTTAAATGGTAACAAGAGTTGTCTTGGGGGAGGAGTTGGTCCGTTTTTAAGTAACACATGAATTAAATGAACCCTAAATGAACAGTTCTGTTCACTGCCACTAAGAACTAGATACTGTCCTAAGCACTTTGCGTGTTTTGGGCAGGGGGGAGGCTCTTGTTAGTCCAGCCTGGCCTTGAACAAACCGTATCTTCCTGCCCCAGCCTTTTCAGTGTTGAGATTACAGGCATGCATCACCACACAAAGCGTAAGCATTTTTTTTTTTGGAACCAACACCTGAGCTATACCTTTGGCCTCTTATTTCGAGACAGTGTCGGTTTGAACTTGCAATCATCCCTCCTCAGCTCTAGATTGTGCCGCCATGCCAGGCTGCTACATATTCCGTGCGCACTGCCTTATCTCATCAGACAACACAGGATTAACTTCCATTTTACTGCTGAGTAAACTGGAGACAACTCTAAGTGGTCAAAACATTTTAATAAATGTTACTCAGCACATCAAACTCTAAAACTTACATGCTCAAAATCTAAGCTTCTATGATCCTTGGAGACTGTTCTAAAATTTTCGATAAATTTTAACGAATCAGGTAAGAGATATGTTGTGGACTGTACACTAACAAGCTGCAATTTATCTATTTTTTTTTTTTAAACTGGCGCACACTTCAGCACTGGGTACACTACGGAACATTTACATTCAATTCTCACTGTTCATATTGTTTTTTTAGAATCTGGGACACAGTAATAATTATGATAAAGAGGTCAACCAAGTTCATTTTATTAAAAAAAAAAACACTTGATAAATAACACAAAAACAACAAACTGGTGAAGCAGCCTTACCATTACAAAAAGGCCACCATTTTGCTCAACTTCAGCAGTTTCCATCAGAAGTTCAATTGCCTTTTTGTTCCCAATTATCCTCACTACTCGGGCAATCAGATCTTTCTTGGGTTCCTGTAACCTGATTAGGAACAAATGAAACAAAATTAACCTCTTATTTGTTATTGTATTATTCCTTATACTATTCAACTAGATCAAAATCTTACTGTAATAATGTCTGCTTTTCTAAATTCTTCAATAATTAACCCCAGAATCACTGACATGGAAACACCCTGATCTTCAGTCATGCAAGGAGATATTAACCTTAAGTTCTATCTCGACTCTTGTACTCGACCGCCGCACTGCCTTTTTAGATTATGGCAAATTTCAAAATAAATGTGCATATTCAGCAAGGTGGATGCAAACCTAAATGTAAGAAAGGTAAAACTAAATTGCTCCTGTTACATCAAATAACATATACTATGTTTTCAATTCTCATGTGTCCAAACAAGTAGCAAATGCTATGCTTTCAATTATTATTCCTAAAAGCTTTCTTAATTCCACAGATGTCTGAAAGCTTTAAAATGGACTCCCCTTACAGGCTAACTCAAAACAAAAATAGAAATAGCTAATATTTACCATTGATTTATTACAGTTTCAGCAGATACAATGCTAGGAATCTCATGCATGGGGTCAATTCTCTCAATGTTATGAGTCAAAACACAGGAAGCTTAAGTAACTCTTCAATGGAGTCAGAGACCACCCTCTCCAGAAATAAAGGCAAAGTGCAGTGCAGAACCCTAACCAGTCCTCCAGTTAGAACCTTTTGTCTTCTCAAGGCAGTGAGTTACTGTGGAAGGAGCTCTGGACTATGGTCTGACAATTAACTCTGTGATGCTGAGCAAGCCACTTAACTACTGGGCCCCAATGGTTCCCAGAAGGAAATAACCTGACATTTTACTTGGACACATTTTGCTTTCAACCTGCTTTTGTTGTTTTGGATTTTCTGGTTTTCAGAGAGAAGTTCTCACTCTGTATTCCAAGTAGCCTCAAACTTGTGATCTTCCTGCCTCAGCCTCCCAAATGCTGGTATTACAGGTGTGCAGCACTATGCCTAGCTTGTTTCCAACTTCTAACAAGTGACTAAAAGAATAATCATAAAGCCGAACTTGTGAAAAAAGAAATGATTTGTAAATTTACCATCTACCAAGCAATTTCACTTAGGTAGGTATTTACCCAAAAGAAATGAAAATGTATGTTCACCGCTGTGCATGCAGAGGTTTGTAATAGCAGTATTCACAATAAGTAAAAAAGTAAAAAAAAAGGACACTACTACTGCCATGCAGTTCAGATAGGTCCTGAACTCACTATGTTAGTTTAAGCCCAGGCTGGCCTTAAACTTGCAGCAATTCTCTTGCCTCGGCCTCCCAAGTGCTGGGATTACAGGCGTGTGCCATGACTTGCAGCCTTTTATTTACATTTTAAAAATTTATTATAACAAGACACATTGACATTACTCTTCCTAAGGGAAATCCCTCTCGTTTCAACCACACTTGTACTATTAGTTTTGCCACGTTCTGAAGCAGCTCGGGAAGTCCTCTTTTCAGAATGTCTTTGGGAGGGCTCATTTATCAACACGGAGAAGCTTGGAGTAGTGGCACAAAGTGAGTTCAAGGCCCACCTGAACTACATAGTGAAACCCTGCCTCAAAACGAAAAAATCCCCCAAAACCCAAACAGAAACAAACAAAAACACATGGTGAATGCCAGCGCCAGCCAATGAAAGGCAGGCTCCTGTAAAAACATTAGCACGGGTCTTCATTCACCTGATTTACCAGCTCTGGACCTGTGCTTTTTCACTTCTCCAAAGTCACCAGTGCAACTGAAGACATAAAAGAAACCTTCCAGAGCTGTTTCACAAAGTGGCAAGATCAACGTGAAAAACGTGAAGCAAGAGGGACTATTTTCAGGGCAATTAGTGGCAATATCTTACTGTAATACATTTTTTTAACGTTTAGACATTCACCATTATTTTTCAATCAAACCTTATATACATATCTATACCCATAATAAGGACTCAAGTACTAATACAGCTTAACATCAACCAATCTCAAAAACATTTCACAAATGAAGAAGCTGGCACAAAACCACATGCTACATGATTTCATTTGTCCAGAAAATGTCAATCTGTACAGACAGAAAGGAGATGAGTAGTTGTCCGGGGATGAGAACAGGGATTCATTCTAAGTAGGCAGATGGACACAAGAGATCTGAGTGACAGAAAAGTTTGGTGTCAGGCAGCAGTCACAGGGTGTGGGGAGGAGAAACAAGCCAACCTCTTCCTGTGAGTTAAAGAAGAGCTGAGGTGCCTTCCCGCCCCACGCAATCAGCTGATCCGGAGAAACACAGGCTGAGATGAGAGCTACTGAAGTTAAAAACAAAACAAAAACAGAAAAATGGACCGCTTGTAGCATTCAGTGTTGACCGATTTTGCTGGCCTAAGGTCGATGGTCTGAGCATCTACTTGGAGTGTAACAGTATGCAATAAGCAACTATGGAGGCTCTCCCTCTGAAGATGCTAGCCATTGCTAATTCCCTATTATCTTGTTTTAAAATCCTGTATTGTTTTCATTGTTTTGTATGGTTTTATTCTGTTTTGTTTTGATATTATTGTATCTGGCAGCACGGGCAGCTACTTCAAAGATAATGAGAGGCATATGGTAGCCACTGTTTGATTTCCTATTATCTTGTTTTGAAGTCTTTTATCACTTTCACTGTTTACTTTTGATTGGCTTTATAGTTTTGTTTATTTTTTTTAAATTAAAATCAACACTTGAAAACAAGTGAATATTATCACACATAAAATATACCTCACTACCATTATTTAAGTCACAAGTGCTTGAAAATATTTTTAAAAACGTGCTAAAGAGTGGCTATTATCAAGAAATCAACCTCTGGACGTGGTGGCACACACTTGTAATCCCAGCATTGGGAGGCTGAGGCAGGAGGCTCACTGGAGTATAAGTCCAGCCTAGGCTACACAGTAAGTCCAGCTCAGCCTGAACTACATAGTGAGACACTGTAAAACTAAATAAACAAACAAAACAATGAAAGAAATCAGCCAGTAAAAAATGCTGGTGATTTGGGCAAGATGGTATACACCTGTAAGTCCAGCACTTGGGAGGCTGAGGCCAGAGGACTGTCGCATGTTCAAGGACAGCCTTGGTTACAAAGTGAATTGAAGACAATCCTGGACTACACAGTGACACTAGACTGTAAGTCTCAGTGCCCCCACTATCACCCAAAATGCTGGTGAGGGATGGGGAAAAAGGAACTTCTTCACTGTTAGTGGGAGTGTAAACTAGTACAGCCAGTACAGAGGGTCCTTAAAAAAATAAAACTAGAGGTTTCATTTGACCTAGCTAATCCCCTTTTTGCTATCTTCTTGAGTTAAAAGCATCATACCACAGTGATATATGCAGACCCATGTTTATAGTGGCAGCTTTTATAACAGCTAAATCTTAGAAACTGCCTAGATGCACATCAATAGGTGAATGGCTAGAGAAATGTGGTTTTCACATACAACAGAATACTACTCTGCCATAAAAAGGGGCAAATGAGACATTTTTAGATAAATGGATATACCTTAAGACCACACTTTTAAGTGAAATAAGTCAAGTACATGTTTAAATATTGTATTTTGTGTGAGAAACCAAAAGTGTTAATTAATAAGGACTAAAATGGATAACCAATATTGGGAAGTAGGAAGAAAATGTTCAAATGGGAACAACATGCGAGGGAGTAGGGGAAAGAGAAGGAAAGGCAAAGGGAAAAGAAAAAGAGAGTAGAAGAAATAAATGGTATGAAGCTTTTGTAAAGGAGTGGAAGAAGGGTTAAAGGGAGGTGAAGGGAATGGAGAAAAAAGAAGAATCCATATATGTTATGTATAGGTACAAATTCCCTGTGATGAATGTGACCATTATTATAACAAAAGATTGTTTTGTATAAAAAGCTTTATGGCACTAAATGTAGTTACTTAAAAGTTCATGAGCATGCAAATTATTCTACCAAGCCTCTTTTTTTTTCCAATTTTTTTCTTTTGTACTGAGAATCAAATTCACAACTTCTTGCTCGCCAGGCAGATGCTTATGCAGCTGAGTTAAATCCCTAGCCCACAAGTGTATTCATATAACCAAATAAGCCTAGTGTTAATTCCCTAAGACAAAAACAAGAAACAGAGAACTCTAAAAGGAACATCATTAATGTATCTGGTATCTATTTATTCTGTGTAAATATAAGACATTTGGTCAGATGCTCCTTTGTAGGTAAAATTTAACTACTTACCTAAAAGAAATTTCGTCAGCCACTTTTTCCTGAGAGTCCTCCTCTGTAATCTCATACCTGCCCTTATAGTTCATCTCCAGTCGGGCCCCAAGTCTGTCTCTTACAGGTCGTTTCCGTTTGAGATGACCTTGACCATTTTCCTCTTCTTTTGATCCTGGCTTTTTGTCTCCATGCATATATTCATCTAACTCTTTGTCTAATTCTTTCGTGTATTCTTCAGATTCCCTCTTAAGTTTCTTAGCCAGCAAATAATTATAGGTCTCAGACTGTCTGCTTTTGTCAATATTGCCCTCCATTCCCAAAATACCCAGTTCGGTGGCCACTGCATCTTGATTCTGTTCTTGCAGCACAGCACCCCATATGTTGTTAACCTTCTTTCCCCCAGCGACAGGTGGTTTCTGACTGCTCTGGTCAAACTGAAAAGGCTCAGGTTTGGGAGAGGGATTAAGACATTTCTGTCGCTTTCGTTTCCAAAGAGAGCTGTCGTCATCGGAATCAGAGAAACTCTCTTCGCTTGAATCCACGCTTTTAACAATCCGATAATGTGACACTGGTAGATAAGCTGCTGCAGGATTCTGGAAGGCCCTCACAGCACTGTCTCCACCAAGTATTTTCTACAAGTGACAAGTGAAAGACAACAGTCAATTCCACAAAACATAACCATTACACCCAAAATGAGTGATTAATAATAAAAAAGTCTGAGATGCACTGGAGCATTCTGGAACACACTTCATCTCCAAGGACATCTCTGAAATCATTCCAGTTCATACATGAAAGTTGTAGCAATTTTTTTTTTTTTTTTTTTGGTACCAGGAATCAAACTCAGGACCTTGCCAGGCAGGCACTGTGCCACTGAGGTATATCCTTGGCAAACACATTTTTATCTCTACAGCTGAAACAATTCTATAAAGCCTCTTACTTGCCTAGTACACATGAGGCCTTGGGTTCGATCTTCAGCACTGAAAGAAAAATTTAGACACATCAGATACTTTTAGGTATGAGGTGAACTCCTAAAGAGTCGAATGCCTGACATTTTACACTTTTTTAAAAACTGCAGCACAGGGGATTAAACCTAGGGAGCACTGAGCTCCAGGGCTAGCCCTTTCTTTCGTTTTGAGACAAGGTCTCATTAAATTACCCAGGATAGCTTCAAACTTGTCATCTTTCTGCTTCATCCTGGTGATATCATTGTCCTTTCTGTCTTGCTTTTCCTTCTTTCTTTGCAGTGCTGGGGACTGACCCTGAGGACTTCTGCACACAAGGCAAGTGCTCTACCATCTTCAGCCTGACATACTTTTTGTGTGGTGCAGACTGAACCTAGGGCCTCCACACTGAACCACATTCCCAGCCCTTTTAATTAGTTTTATTTAGAGACAAGGCATAAATTGCTGACTGTTCAGGCTGGCCTCAAACTTGCAATCTTTCTGTATCAGCCTTCCAAGATGCTAGGATTAGAAGTGAGCACCAACCCAGCTACTGATTTCCTGCTCCCTGTTCCTCCTACTTACTACTTTTAAAACTGAAGATTTCACTGCATTAACCAAGTTGTGGGTCAATTTATATAACCAATTTGAAAGAGAAGGAAATTCTACAAAATATTCCAGAGTTAATTTCCAAAGACATTTATATCCAAAAGAAGTCAGCTTTGCTTTAATTGCCACAGAGTAAGTGAACAGATTCAGGGGATGTATTGCTTTGATATGGGATATATTGTGATGATCAAATCAGAGTAATTAGCATATCTAATATTAGGAAAAAGAATCCAGTTTCACAGCCCAGGACAGGTTTTATTGGGATTAAAACCCAAGAGGGACTGCTGGTATGAGGACCAAATGGCCCTATCTCTTACGACTTGGGGGCTTCTACAGTTGAGCAAGGAAGTTGGAACTGGGCTCAGGAGTGTCTTTCAAGCAGACAGCTTGCAGGAGTTGACCAACAGGCAAGCAGCTTGTGACTCTGGGGAAATTGAAACAAATATGAGAACTTAGAGATGTTTCTGAATGCTGCTTTGGTCTCAAGGTGATGATTTGATTCTTTCATCTACCATCACCTTGAACATGTCTTTGTGGCAAAAATCCTCACAGCGCGGTGAAGTAATGCATGCTTGTAATCCCAGCACTGAGGAAGGCTGAGGATCGGAAGTGTGAGTCCTTCCTGAGCAACTCAGCAAGACACTATCTCAAACGAAAAGGGCTGGGAATGGAGCTTAATGGTACAGTGCCAAACAAAAACCTAAAAAACCTCTTTTCTAATTACCTCAAATCATACATTCTTAACTATAGTCATACTATTATGCAACAGAATACTTGAGCTTACTCCTCCCAACTGTAACTTTGCTCTTGACTTTTGCTCTTTGTAAACACAAAACCAAGTATTTGTTAAATTCCTGTTATACACTACAAACGAGGGTGGGGAGTTACTCAAGTCACGGGATGGTCTCCTTGTCTTAAATGGTGACAGCTGCTACAATTCGCTGTCCAATGCGCGATCACCATTCCAAACCTGCAGATCAGGCCACACCAGAACTGGCAGGCAGGTCAGAGCGTGCCGCACCAGGACTGGAACAGAGGCAGCCTAGCACTAAAGCTCTGTCCACGTGGTTGCTACTTTTCACGGGGACACAACAAATTCACATTTAGAAAACTGGGAAGCAAAAGCCAGACCTGTAATCTTACCGAGTAACTCAGGAGGCTGAGACAGGAGGACCGTTGCGAATTCGAGAGCAGCCTCGGCTACAGAGTGAGCTCAAGGCCAGCCTGAATCACATAGTGAAATCCTGCCTCAAAAGGACAAAACTAAACAAATAAACAAAAATAAAACCTAACGCCGTGGTACCGCGCTACAAAGCTAAGTATGTCGAGAATATGAAACGCCAGGTCACTCCGGGCGAGAGACGAGCTTTTTTCCTAGGCCTCAGTTTACCCATCTGCACTAAAAGAAAATCAGCACCAGAGGCCTTTTCAGGCTTTGTCTCCCTCCAGATTCATTTTTGGTAAGATTCGTTTTTCCAAACCCCGAGGCCCTGGAGTGGGAAGTTGGTGGGTTTAGGACGAACAGCAATGCGCGCAGAGAGACGCCGAGACCGCTGCACGCCCGCGCCCAGGTGGCCCCAGGGCTCGCGGACTCCGCCTCACTCTCAGTCGCCCTCGGGCTCACCCGCCCTTTCCGCCGCCCAGTCGCCGGGCGCGCCCTTCCCGCCACACGCGGGTGCCTCGGGGCTGGGGCTCTGCGCGCGCCCGGCCACCCGCTCACCCTTTACGCTCACCGGCACTTGCAGTGGCCTGTCGCTAGGTGCGACCGTCATGTCGGAATCTGAGTCAGAAAGCTGCCCATCTTCCATATCACCGGCTTCCAACGCCATCTTCCCACTGCACGGCGCGCCGGTCACAAGAAAACTTCCGGCAGGCTGGGGCGGGCACTTCCGGCACACGAGGGCGGGCACTTCCGGCGGATGAGCGAAAACTTCCGGGGGATAGGTGAGCGCTTCTGGCGGGGCGGGAAGTCTTACTGCGCAGTTGTAGTGAGCGCCCTGGGCCTTCAGCAGTCTTTTTTTCAAAAGTTGTATGAGATTCAGTTTGTGTACCGTCTGCGGGTGCTTGGGAGCCACTCGGCTGCACGCTCTGCCCTCGGCCTCCGCCCCACTGCGTCCGGCGCCTTCATTCCGGAGACTCCCGCCCGCCGCGGTCCTCGGGGCGACCCCTCGCGACCGGCGGTCAGCGCGCGGCCCCCGCCCGGTGTCCGCCTGCTGAGTTTGCTGCGTTGCTCTTCTGCCCTTCGGGACGCTGCTCAGCCCATGGTAGTGCTGCGGAAAGGGCCTTCTCCCTACGCCCCCCCTGAAAAATGTCTCCTTTTTTTATTCTTTGGGAAGTTTAAACTAGGCCCATTTAGTTTGGGGCAGGGCTAAGTTGCCCAGGGCCGGCCTCACATCTGTTATCTGGCCTGAGCCTCGGAGCCGTGGAGATTACAGGGCCATCTGCGCCGCCGCTCTGGCTCCCGCTTCGACGTGGGTGTGTTGGGTGATTTTGGTTTTTAGGCAAATGCCTTCACGGAGAGACCCAATTTGGCTTTCTCAACTATGCTAAGGAAAAAAATCCTATATATCTGCCTTTAATGTCAGGCCTGTCGTGTTTTTCTGCTCAGTACCCATAGTTTTAGAGCTGTTTTATCTCTGTGTTCCCCGCTACTAAGTCTACTGTATTCACAGTCATTTCCTCGGGTGTCCAGCCGGCGTACTTCATGCACCGGAAAAGTGACCGATATTATTTATTGGGGGCTGGTTGTGATCCTTGTTTCTTGTGCATGCGGCTCTGACTTCCGTCCGCAGCACCAAAACAAAAATTCCACTTGAACATGTAAGTGTGAGCGTATGTTTGCACACTATTGCAGTTCCATTAATTTGTCTATCTTAGGGCTAATATTACACTTAATGACTGTAGCTTACAATAAACATTGAATTCAGGTGTTGTAAGTCTAACTTCTTTTTGAGATTGCTTTGGCTATTCTAGGTCCTTTGCACTTAGGTATACATTTTGAGATACACTTCCAAGTCAGGCGGTGCACATATCTGTGATCCCAGCTACTGGGGAGACTGAGGGTGAAGCATGGCAAGTTCCAGGCTGACCTGGACAGTTTAGTGAGGCCCTGTCTAAAATTAAAAACCAAAGGGCTGGAAACTGCCCAGTTAGAATGGCCAGGTGGAGGGCAGTCGATGTGAGATAAAAGAATTCGTTGGGATCAGAATAAGAACAACAGGAGTGTATCCAAGTTGAAATAAAGTGGACACTGTTGAAATAAAGTGGACAGGCAAACTTAAATATTGTTTGGTTTCTCTTAGTTACAAACAAAGAGCAAAATAGGTAAATAAAAAGTAGACTTTTTAAATGAGAAGGGGATATCAAAAGATGGAGGGGGAATCTAAGAGGGAAAAGGGGTTTAAAAAAAAGGAAATTGTGCTATGGTGTTGGGTTCCCATCACTCGGGAGGCCAAGGTAGGATTTTCATGAGTTCGAGGCCAGGCTGAACTACAGTGTGAGTCTCGAAAAACTTGTAAAAAATGTCTGGGTATTTAACATAGTGGCTTAGCGCCTGCTTGGTGAGCATGAGGCAGAGTTCAATTCCTGGTACCCCCCCCCCCCAACTTTAAAGAAAAAAGAAGTGTTATGTACATGTACCAACTCCACATAAGGAATGTAAACATGATTTGAAAACATGTCTTACAAAAATTTAAGGAGGGGGGAAAAAAAACAGGCAACTTTCTAAGCAAGAAATCACAAATTCGGAGTGAGAGGTTGGTGTCATAAAGGCTTGGAGATGTGCGAAGAGTGGGCAGCAAATGTAGGTGTCTCAGGCATTTTTTCTTCTGGGTTGCCTGGGTCCTATTGATCTTTTAGCAATACTTGTTTTTAAAAAGTTACAAATTGACAAGTATCATTTACTCTGAAACACAGTTAAATTTTGCGTAAGAATGTATAAAGTTAACTTTCAGAAAAAGTGAGTCAGGACTCCTTGAGAGAAATGAATACTTGTTATTGTTACCTTGTGATTTTTCTAATTCTCACTACTAGAGGAGATGGTTGGGGGCTGGGTAAAAGCAAAGAAGACACCACTATTTTTTCTTTTACTAATTGTTGGCTATAGATAAAACCAACACAAATGTGGTTTCAAACTTTAGCTCAAAAGAATGTAACCTCTCCTAAGTGTGCTGAGAAGATCTAGGATCCATATAAAATTCAGACTATGGGTAAAGGATTAGAGAAACTCAAGATCTCAAAACAAACTAAAGGGTGATGTAGCACATACCTAAGAGTAGTGAGGGGCAACTCCTCTCAGAAGTAGGTCAACAAAGTCCATTTTTTTTTCGTACAAGGAACAGTGACCTTGGAGAAAGGAAAGACTATTAAGAGACCCAGTTAATCTTAGGAAGCCTACCAATTTGCAGCAAATTCTGCTTACACTCTGTACTACAGCCTATGTGTCTTATCTGAAATCTTTTCTCAAACACAATCAAATGTGTTGTGAGTTCCTTGTTTAAAGAACTGGCCCTGTCAGGACCTGGTTTTCTGGTAACACCATAACCGCCCAGTGCATGTTGTGCAAGATTGGGTCGGAAGAGTTTTTACCATTTAATCACTACAGGAACACCTCAGTTCTTTCTGGGTTCAACCCCAATAAATAAATAATTTTAAAATAAGTATTTTTATTTAGAAAAATCTAGGAAGATTATACTTAGATTTTGCTTCATCTGCAGATCAATTTGGAGAAAACTTTTAGCAGTGTTGAGTCTCAATGTGCATGGTATAGCTCTCTATTTAGATTTTTATTTCACTTCTTGCAGCAATGTTTTAATATACATTAATAGTTTAAAAATATATTTTAATAGTTTTAATATATATTTTTAATCTTTTTTGTTCTAGTTATTCCTAAGTATTTTTAAAATTACTCATGTTCTATTTCCAATATGCAAAAGGAAAAAAAAAAACTTACTGAAGTATAATTTACAAGCTTTATCTGTCCAGCTTACTGAGTTGAGTGTATATGAAAAAAGCATGTAACCACCATGGCAATTATGATAAAGAATAATGTCAAGCCAGGCACAGTAGTGTACTGCTATAATCCTAAGTAGCTCAGGAGGACCTCAAATTCAGAGCCAGCCTGAAACCCTGTTTCAAAATTAAAAAGGCCTGGGATGTAGCTCAGTGAGAACACTTTGGGTTCAATTCCACAAAAAATGAAACAAATCAACAATAAAAGGAAACACTCAGATTGTACTAAATAGTTCTCTCCTGTCCCTAGGCTATCAGTCATCTCTCCTAATTCCTTGGATTTTGGGAACCAAAGTTTTTCCATTTCCTGTATAGAATATATGTGAAATTATTCCATATGTAATAATCTGTGGCTTCTTTCACTTAGTATAACTTTATGAAAACTGTCAGAAATTTCCCAAATGCTGATACCGTTTGCAATAAATGAAAGTTTAGTTGATTCAGCACTTGGTTTGGTTGGTCTTTTTTTTGGTCAATTTTTAAATTTATAGTCATTTGTATTAGAGTTTTCCAGAGAAAAAACATCAATAGGATATACTTTGAGATTTATTATATAGAGAGGTTGATCACTGAAGCCAGGAGATAGGGCACAGGTCCTGAATAGTTAACTTAAATTGTAAGTTGGGGCTTAAGTGAATTAGCATACCAAAATGGACTATTAGGGTCTAATGGAATACAAGAGATAAAAAACAGGTCCTTAACCTAAGCAGAGAGACCTTGGAGGAAGTAAGATTCAAACAAAACAATTTGCACTCTAAATATCAAAGGCCTATCTAAATCCAGGAGCATCTGTGCTTTCTGTCACATACACCAGTCCCCAAAACTATATAAAAACCCCTGAGTCTAAACTTTCATGGGGTCGGCCTAATGACTACTCCACTGTAGTCAGCTGACAGCTATTTTATTATTTCTAATAAATATATATTTTGCCATTCCCTACTACTTGCTGTTTGGTGTTTTGCAGGCTAGAATCCTTGTTGCCCTAAAACAATGACCCAAGAGCTAGATCCAGCTTCATCATGAGACTTAGACTGTGTAGTTATAAAGACTGAAAATTCTCATAATCTGTCATTTGCAAGCTTGAGATGGAAGAGATTCAGGAACATAGTTCAAATTTGAATCTGAAGACCTGAGAACCAAGAGAATCTATGTTATGAGTTCTCATCCGGGTCTGCTATGATTTGCATGTGATCTGAGAATGTTCTCCAAAGTGTCTGTGTGGTGAGCTAAGTTCTCAATGTGCTGGTGCAGAGATGCAGTGAATGCTTTAAGAAGTGGAGCCTAGTGGGGAAATAATTATCAAGGGCACAGCCTTCAGAAGGAGTTGGTAGAGATCTGAGTTGCTGGTTGGTTTTGCAAGAGTTTCTCTAAAAGCAAGGCAGGAGCTGGGGTGTAGCTTAGTTGCAGAGTGCTTCCTCACTGTGCAGGAGGACCCAGGTTCAAACTCTACCATTGCAAAACAAAGCCAAAAGCTGGGCATGGTGGTACACACCTGTAAACCTAACAATCTGGGAAACTAAAGAGGATTGCAAGTTTGAGGCCAGCTTGGGCAATTTAAAAGATAGGATGTAGCTCAGTGATAGAATACTTGTCTGGCAACACACACACACACACACACACACACACACACACACAGAGTAATTATATTCCTCATGGGGAGTTGGTACATAATACATAAAGTAAAACCTTTAAATCTTGAAAATTTAGTCCTGTTAACTATTTAGAAAGAACAAGTTAAAATATGTGAAAAATTAAAAGTGATTTTGAACTGTAAGAATCATTAGAGAAAGGTCTGGAGGCGTTTTCTGGAAATATAAGGGCTTTGTTATTAAGGGCATTTATGTTTAGGTGAATGTAGGCCTTAGACTCCCTCACTTTATT